CTTGGTCAATCTTTCTATATGGCTGTGAATGCTGGACAATCACTAAAGACAGTGAAAATAAAATAGAAGCAACAGAAGTGTGGTTTCTTAGGAGGCTGCTAAGGAGTATCGTGGAAAGAAAGGAAATCAAATGAGGTAATGCTTGATGAAGCCCACGTGGGACGCTCAATGTTAAAAACAATTAGGAAGCGACAAATGCAGTTTTTGGGACACCTAAATAGACATAAGGGTCTTGAACATTTTGCTCTCACTGGCAAAATTGAGGGCAAGCGGGGCAGGGGTAAGCTCAGAACAACGTACTTAGGGAACCTAAACAAATGGGTAACAGGGAAAGATCAGTAAAACGTAGCTTTTTTTAGAGCATCCGAGCAAAGGAATGAATGGAAAACCAAGATTGCCGATGTCTGTCGCAGATCTGGCAATGAATGATGATGATTACCAAGAAGTGCCCAATCTCTAAAGAGTATTCAATCATAATGTATTAAAATGTATTCATGTTTTATGTATTGATTACAGGAAATATAATACCATTATCCTCCAATTCCGACTACCATGATACGTTTAACCATTATGTCTTTCCCAAGTACGACCTTTGGGACAGAAAACGTGAAGTTATTTTCACCTTTAGGGGTGTTATTTTTGAAATTGTTGAAAGAGGTTGCTTGTGTCCTGCATAGAATTCTTTCTTTCTGTGCGAGCATGTATGACTTTTCGATTATTAAAATATTATGTTTTTAACAATAATGTACATTACGAAAGCCAGTTTTTAACACTTTTTTGGTTTTGCATTTCCCCAACCTTCTGCAATACGAATTGTATTTATTATATTTTTTAGTACCCCGAGTACAATGTGTGCATATTTATAAACCAGAAGGATTTCGTATTTTCCAGATATCTCTGTTTGGGTGTTCGCTTCTCTTTGTGGCTGTTCACGTAAGTCGTAGCGTCTTTGTTCCAAAATACAGAGCATTTATTTATTTTTAAAGTAAAATTGCCTTTACCTATTACACTTCATCAAACTGTTCACTGTTTAAAAATAAGACTGCGACTTCACTATCTGATGAGATGATGTATCTTGCAGAGCCAGGGCTCGTCCTGAAAGGCTAGACTGAAGCAGCCCGCTCTCTAAACTGTGCTGTTTACTAGTCTATACCATATGACAATACAGTTGAATCAGTAAATATGCACTAGGTGAGTATCTGATCGATTAACAGACTCAAAAGAATCGATTGTCAAGTATTTTAGGAAATACTGCGCACTGTTTGTGAACGAAAACCTCACTTGTCTACAATGGCGCCTTAGAAGACGAACTGTCCGAAGATTATATCTAAACGAAACTAATGAAAAAGTGAAAGTTAAACAACAGTGACTTCAGTCTCTGTAATATAACGGTGCACCCTTTAAATGATTCTGAACCACCGTTATTTTCTTTCAAATTCGAACGTTAAATGGTTCGGAAGTTTTAGGCGACCAAAGTGACGAACTTTCACAAACATAATACATAGACGACAACTGGAGAGTAAAAAATCTTCCAGGTCTGCCAGGACCAGCTCAGAAAAAGATTTGATGTAATTCCATGCCATGCCCCCCCCTCCCCAAAAAAAAATTTAAAAATCCCTTGCTTTTACTCCTTTCACCTTTATTCTGATGCAACTGAAATAAAAGCTATAACACTAACTATTCTGCATTATTTTTTTCCAGCAATCTCGATTACACAATAGGGTTTATTTTAATACGTTTTGATACGGGGAGGGGGTGAATGATATTTTCTTTACTCTTTACCATACTGATTATAACGATGTTGCCTGTGGGTTTTGGACAGCGAACGCCATCATCACACCTTTCCCACCAAAAATATGACTGGTAGTGTCAACGTTGCTATTTGACCTAGTACCGACCTTTTAAAGAATACCAAACAAAACACACAAAAAAACCTTTGTGTGTGTCAAAATTCATTTTCTTCATAATGAAAAGAAACCTTTCTTTTCAAAAAACGTTTCGTTCAAATTATTTTTCTTTCAAGAAGGGTTGAACATATCAATATTATTGACTGTTCATGAAACAGATCTTGGGTTGAATAGTTTATTAAATGTATCCCACGATAACATTGTCTTCCTTGGTATAACCCGTACATCTAATCCTCTCTTATTCTTACTATTGCTGAGAAATAAAAATGGGTAAGTCGGAAGATGCTTAATAATTTTAAATATGATTTACAGCGTCTGAGAACAGAATATTATGTGTTTTCAAGCAATAATTAAAATTTTGCTGGATCGACCTAGTTTCTGTTGAGTGTCACAGCTGCTAAGTGTTCATTTCCAATAACGGCGCAAGAGACAGACTAAGCATTTAATCCCGTTTTTCTTTATGCGGGTTAACAACAACATTAGAAATTTCGTAAATCGAAAAAAAGGGCGTAGTTCTTTAAGATGCATAATACGTCGACATTACATTAGTCACTCTGCAAGTCATCAACTGTTTTGACTCCATACATTCTTTCTTTTTTAACAAAGACAAAGAAAAAAAATCTTGCTTGATAATACCCAGCCAGAACCATGTACGTATAATGAAAAAAATACAACAAATTGATACAAACAAAAGTACTGGTAACAGTTCGAAAAAAATCGGTAAAGTAAAAAGTGATGTGCAAAAGATTGCTGGCTTTTTGTTGGAAGAGCAATACAACAACTAGATCTAGTTTTTTGTGGGGGGGTTTATTTTGTTTTGTTTAGCTTGTTGTGGCCAACATTGTTATTGATTGTTGATTGGTATTATTCTTATGCCGGGTTCTGTTATTGTTACCATTGTATGTGTTATGGTTATTGTTGGTTTTTGTTTTGTTTTGATGTTGTTGTTGTCGTTGTTTGTGGTGGTGGTGGTGGTGGTTTTTGTTGTTGTTGTTTTGTCGTTGTCGCTGTTGTTGTTGTTGTTGTTGTTGTTGTTGATGTTGATGTTGTTGTTGCTGCTGTTTTTCTTGTTGTTGTTGCTGTCGTTGATGATGATGATGTTGATGATGATGATGATGATGATGATGATGATGATGATGATGATGATGATGATGATGTCAAATAAGAGAAATTTGTGAACTCCTGGAACTAGTCCTTACACTAAACAACTTCTCCTTCAACGACCAACATTTTCTTCAACTCACAGGAACAGCCATGGGAACACCTGTAGCT